CGCCCTTGTCCTTGCCTGCCTGCCTGCCTGTCTTCCAACTGTCCTTCACTCTATTCCCTCCCCATAGGCCATCCTGTGTTCATCCCCAAAGGTTCCAGCAGCCTATAGGGCACCTGCTTTTCTGTAAGAATCAACATTACAGCTTCCCAGTCTAATTCAAACATCTGAGTTAAATTTTGAAAGACTTAAATGTATTGGTCAGGGTTATCAGTGAATTTGCCCAAATCCCTCTTAATCTGTTTAAAATCTTAGAGAGAGAAAGGTCCATGTACCTTAAATGGGCTGCATTCACTAGGCATCTCAGTTCATGGACATAACAAGCGCACCTTTTTGTCATCGGGAAGACTTGGTCTAGTGCCCCCAGATAAGAAGGGCAAGAAGGCCAGAGGGCAGTACCACCACCGGGGAAGGAACCTCAGGGAGTGAGTTATGAGGTATTTGCTTTTCTTAATAATTTATGGAGGCCAGGAGAGTGGGGCCCAATTTATATGTCTTACATAAATCTGCCTGCTTGCCTACCCAACATGAGAGGAAGGACCAGGCCGGCAGGAGTAGCCATCCTTACCTGCTCCGGTCACCTGATCCCCCTGGTTTCCTCTGGATTTCTCAGAAAGTCTGGCCTAATCATGAGGGGCTTAGCGAGGTCAACAGCTTAAACTTTGATATTCTTTTAGAAGGCTAAGAACACAAGCAAAACAGCTTGGGTCTCTCCAGTGGGAGGCATGTGTTGCTTAAGGATGAAGCCTCCCCGGGGCGTGACCCCAGGGCCATTTCCATCCTTTTACGTGTCTCAGAGACCCCAGGGTCACCAGTGGTGACCAAAGGGCAGGTTCAGAGTGCTGGATTGCCAATCCTTATGTGTGCTCCCCGTATGAACCTTGGACAGAGTAGGGGAAATCCTTTTTAACGACCTCATTCTTCGGAGCTCTCTTGATTGAACCCTCATTGTTTGGTCATATAAATTCGCTTGTAACCCTAGCCCCATGTGCCTCGTCAATTAGGCTAACTATAAGCCAAATTAAATTATGTTTCCTTGCCTTACCCCTTGGGCACTTTTTCCGTTCATATACCTGATGTCCCATTTGCAAGTATGGCCCTGTTGAGGGGTGCAGGCCCTGAGATTTAACATCATTATAATTCCATCTTCTTTGCTGTTGGAGCAAGAAAGCCTCAACTATATGACCCCTTAAAGCCCCAGCCACTAATGCAACCAATCGAGGAGTTGGCTGGGGGTCTGCAATTCCCTCCTTAATGCCCAAAGGATTCCAAGGGGAGGAAAGGCCCAGGAAACATGGGACTGCCTCCAACTTGTCATATAAGGAGATAGCTCTAATCCTGCTTGCCGATAATTTGGGTTTTAATTCCTGACTGTGATTAAACCTAAATATACCTAATAGAAAAACCTATGTCTTACCAGGCAGCAAAAGATGAGGAAAAGCTGGTTCCTCCTAAACTAAATTCTCATGAAAGACACTTTTAAAAGAAGTCTTATATCTACATAGGCAACACCCTTCCCCCAGATGACAAAGTCGGTGGGACTACTTTCGGAACTGCTGAACCCATGACATTCCCAGTTGCTTAGAGAAGAAACTGCGGAGGATAAAAAGCGATTCAAATCCTGAAATGAATCCCTGATTAGAAGGGGGTACTGATCATCGGGGGTCAGAAGGGCCCTACTATGGGCAAAGTGGAAGGTGGAAGAAAGCCATTTAAGAAAAGTGGGTGGCAGAAGTGGGTAGGGTTAGGCCAACATTCCCTTCTTTTAAGGACTTTGTCCAGAAGCCTGTCACCTGAGACTTAAGACCGATGGCGACACTATTCACTTTTAACTGGCCGACAGGTGCCTGGTTTTGTTGTTTATTAAAAGAAGAGGTTATCCAGGAAAGACACCTCCCAGGAAAGAAAAGAGTCTGCTTTTACTCACCCTTTGGTGGAACTGTTCCCGGGTTTCAGCACCAAAACGAAGCAAGAAAGCGAGGTTTTTGTCTCATGGAGTCGAAGAATGAATCTTGCGGATGAAGGGGAGTGAGAAGAACCATAGAATTTTATGAAGCAAGGGTACAGAAAAAGTTCTCAGGAGGGAGAGGGGTCCTGACCCCATCGCCAGCCTGGGCCTCCACCAACGGTCTTTTCTTTAGAACTGACCAGGGAGGGAGCTTGTGGTCTTAACTGTCCTGTGATCTCTTGGTGCCCGTCAGGACTGGTGATAACATCTTTCATGGCTCACTTCTTCTTTGGGGTCTGGTCATTCTTTGTGGTCACAATGTGACTGCCAGAAAAAGCCCCCACCTCTGATGCACGCCCAGGGCAGGGTGGTCTGGTTTGTTCCCCTCATCTCTGGTTTCTTTGGCCTCAGCATTTCTGGGATTTTTGGTGAGCCTGATCATGTAGCCCCCTTACCCATCCCTCCCTACCTAACCTCCCCGTCCCTTACTCATCCTCATCAGTAAAACATGGGCAGTAATCTTGCCTGCATCTACCTCGTGGTGAGGATAACATGAAATAATTCAAATCATGTGTTTAGCACGGGGCTCGGCGCATGGGAAGAGCTTAATAAGAGTTAGCTGTGATTATGAGTAAACTACTCATTGAATGAGGAAGTGAGACAATGATACCTGAGCTTTAACACAGGGGGCTCTGGGTGGTCCTCCTTCACAGAGGAAAGGCCTGGGGGTGGGGGGAAGGGCTTTGGGCCCTGACAACCTCCACCACCACTCAAAACACCTTTCTTAGATATTCCTATTCTTTGAGCTGGGCAATTAACCTTTCTTAATTTTATGTAGAGTGGAGATTAAAGCATGTTTAGGTAATGTTGTTAATATTATTGCTCTAAACTTAGCTCTGTACATGTTTCCACGCCCACTCCAAGCCCCTTCCGTCAGAAATTCTAGAACTACAGCATTCAGCTGGCTGTGCAAGGGGCACTGTCCCCACTTGTGGCCAAGCTCAGGTAAAGAGGTTTGAAGGGGCCAAGGTCATCCAAGTTCTCCTGATGCTATGGAGCCAAGGAGTCCAGCCCCAGTCCCAGGTAGGGCTGGGCTTAGCTGATGTGAGTCGACAGGGCAGAGGACAGAAACAGCACTGCCGTCTCCGACGGGCCTGCTAGGCCAGCAGGACCGATATCCCTTTTCCCTTTGCAATTGTACTTGGCTCCCAAAAGCTTTGGAATTATTTCCATGTGGAATGGCTGCACGTGGTCCCCAGACATCCTCTGTTCTCTTTCCTGGAACCTCAGGAGAGGGGTCTTCGGAGTCGTTGGGTAGTGCAGGGATAGAGAAGCCAAGGGAATATTAGGGCTGGTTCTCTCTGCCAATCCTGCTTCAGATCCAGGAAACTGCTTTCGATGCCAAGTGTGTAGAACCAGAAGACAATTGCACCAGCAGGCAGGAAGGAACCAGCTGCTTCTCTGAGGGCTGGATGTGTAGAAAGGGGGTGGGGAGAATCTGAAGGGAAGAAGACAGAGGAGGGGAGAGGTAAATGAGGCAGACTTTGCCCAGCTGGGTGTTTGCCTGTATCTCTACGTGGTGAGAGCTCCAGGCTAAAGGACACAAAGATGCTGGGCTGCATGGGTTTTGCCCGAGATGTCAGCATGGAGGATATGGATTTGCTGCCTCATTGTCTCCCCCTCCTCCACCTTCCCCACTTCCCCTGTCCCACCCTCCATCTAAGCCCTCGGAGAAGCTGCTGATTCATCCTGCTTGCTGGGGGTCTGCGGACATTTGGACACCTCTGGACACTCTATCTGGTGTTCTGCCTTTCTTATGCGATCTCGGCCAAGTCGCTTTATGACAATAACCCAGTCTGCATGAAGTCACAAGGAGTGCTCCAGTCGTGATGTCACATGCTCCCTGTACACACATTATCTCATTCGATCCTCATGTCAACTCTGCAAGATACTCTTAGTGCACCCACTTTACAGATGAGGAACCTGAGGCTGCAGAGACAGGGGGTTATTAATTTCCTAAGGTCATATGGCTAATAAATGGAAGAACTGGAATTCCAACTAGGGTCTACTAAACTTCAAAGTTCAAGCTCTTCTATAATCCAAAGAAGTAGAACAGAGATGGTCACTATCGTCACTGTGGTGATGAGGAAACTAGCTCACAAAGGTCAAAGAACTGGCCAGTGGTTGTACATGTGGAAAGTGGTGCTGCCAATATGCAAACCCATTTCTTTGGCCACCAGACCAATGTTTATTTTGCCAACAAAAAAAATGAGGAAGACTGAGTAGAGCACCTCAGAGTTTCCCTCCAACTGAGATACATTTAAATTCTGGGCTAAGGTGCGCCTGGGTGGCTCAGTCGTTAAGTGTCTGCCTTCAGCTCAGGTCATGATCCCGGGGCCCTGGGATCAAGCCCCGCATCGGGCTCCCTGCTCAGCGGGAAGCCTGTTTCTCCCTCACCCACTCCCCCTGCTTGTGTTCCCTCTCTCACTGTGTCTCTCTCTGTCAAATAAATAAATAAAATCTTAAATTAATTAATTAATTAATTATGGGTTAAGACAGGAGTCAGAAGGAGAATGGGTGAAAATAAAGAAGCAACTTGGTCTTACCGCTTTGTCTCACACTCTCTGCCTGAGGAAGCCAGAGTGGCTGCCCCAGCTCTGCCCTTTCAGCCTCATCACAACCCCCAGTGAAGGAGAGAGACATTCAACAAACTGGGGGGCATTTCAACCCTTGGAGCTTGGACTCCCCAGACCTCACCCTGACCCCCGCCCCCAGCAGCCTCTTCCCTGAGGAGCGTGTGTCCACAGTCGCCCCTTACACAGGCGCATCCATGCCCTGACCACTCAGCCCTCAGTGTGTCACCAGCGAGAGTGGTCCCCGGGGGAGAGGGTGAGCACACGTGGGCACATTGGCATCCTTCCACACGGGGCCCCACACCACCCTCTAATCGCAGCCTGCGGGGCGGGGCGGGGGATGGGGGGCGGGAGACCCATCTCCCGGTCCCGCCCAGCGCCCCGCAGGGACACACCCCGGGGGAGACGCTACGGGCCGGGCTGGGCTGGGGCCGGCAGGGAGCTGGATTCTGCGCGTCCGCAGCCCCGGGGAACCGACATGGCCCACGAGCGTCCCGCCAGCGCCCTGGAGCCCGAGCTCGTCCAGCGGTTGTTGCTCTCCTGCCGGGAGGCCAAGAAGTCCGCCTACTGTCCCTACAGTCACTTCCCCGTGGGGGCCGCGATCCTCACTCGGGACGGGAGGATCTTCTCCGGTAAGGGCCCCCCCACCCCGTCCCCCTCGATCGCAGCCCCCCGGCGGGAGGTCGCAGGAGGACGGGCGGGAGGCGGCAGAGCAGAGGGCAGCTCTGGCCGCTCGTGGCTGGGCCACCCCGGTAACGCTGGCACACACACCCCGCTCCCGCCCTGCCTGCTGTCCCGGACCGTGGGGATGCAGGTGCTGCTCAGATGCGGCGACTTTTTAATTCTTAGAGGACTGGGAAGCCAGAGGTGGGTAGGCCATAACTCAAAGCTGGGAGGGACACGGCTGATACTTTGTGAGCCCCCCTCCGCGTGGCCCCCTGCGAAGGCTTCCACAGGTTTCATTAGCAAGTCCTCACCTCTCACTCACTCACCTCCTTGTTAGGCCCATTTTTCAATAAAGAAACTGAGGCCCAGAGAGGTGACACGGGTTGCTCAAGGTCACACGGGGCGCTGGTGGTGGAACCCAGGGCTGGAGTCCCCCAAACCCTGCATTCTTCCGATCACCTACCGGGGCGAGGAAAGAAATTGAGGAACCCACGGCCATCGGCCGGTGACTTGTCCGCGGATTCCGACCTTGCAGAGGATCCTGGAGGAGAGAAGCTGAGAGAAGTTTGGGTGATCAGCAGTGAGTGCTGGCATGGGGAGGGTGGGAACGGGCCGGTGGGAACTGGAGTCAGCACTAATCTGTTCCTAAGCTCCTTTTCTTTGGCTTGTTGGTTTTCTAGAAAAGCTCACTTGAACAAAAGTTCAGACTTGTTTTTGCTAAGCTAAGAAGCATTCTCATTCAAAACAGTGGGGAACTTGGTGAGGAAGTGGCAGGGAAGCCACTTGCCCCTCCCCACCACTGGGAGGGCAGATGAGAATTGGCACAGGGGGACAGATGGGGACACCCAGCCCTGCCGCCCAGAATCCGCCTCTACTTGGCAGTGGCAGCTATTTAAAGAGACAGAGGTTCGCACTGGACATCTAATCGGTGACCTCCAGTAGCCTGAGGCCAGTTGTGAGCCACTCGCCCCCACCTCTGCTCCTCCGTGAGTCCGGCTGGGGATCCTCCCCTTGTATGGTGCCCCTGGGCTGTCCTTGCTGATCATGTTACCTCTTGTCTTGGAGGTTCAGTCCCGTTTCACGAGTCCCCTGGGTCTTAAACCCCTTTCAGCAGGAGAAGGAACCTTGAGTGAGTGCTAGTATGTGGAAGGATAGTGAAGGATGTTATCCATTAACCCTTATAACCCCTCAAGGCAGTTTGATATCACAGGGAAGAAAACTGAGGCTCACAGAAGCTAAATGCCCAAGATCACAGAGCTGAGATGCGGACCCAGAGTTCCCCTGACTCCAGGTCAGCTACTCCGTAGTTAATCCAAGACTGTGTGTCTTGTGGGAATTCAGGCCTGGGCCTGGTGGCTCAGATGACCCTGAAACATTAACCACCCCCACAAACAACACTGCAGCCCAAACTCTTCTGGGGTTCCAGGGGCTTGAATGTTGAATCAGCCGTTGGCTCTTTCCAATTCCTCCTTGCATAGATTCATTCATTCAACAAATATTTGCTGAGCACCATGACGTCCTAGGTAACGTGCCAAGTACCAGGGATATCACAGTGAGAGCATGAATGACGCAGTCTCTGCCCCCAGCAGAGGTCCCTCCTCTTACACAGGTCATGGTTTGAAAGGGAAGCCTCAACCGATGACTGTAGATGTGAATGAATGAGGTGAGCAGGAGTGTGGCCTATTTAAATTGCAAGGAAGAATCTGGTTGTGCAGTGGGGATTTAGGGAGGCCCTCTGGGAGGGGGTGAAGGCTCTGGACTTAAGAGTCTCCTGGGTTTGAATCCTGGTGCTGCTGTTTTATCAGCTGTGTGACCCTGGCCATGACCCTTCATCCTAATGTGTCTTACACATCTGTAAACTGAGGATCATGCACCCACCTTTCTGAATGGCTGTGAATAGAATTGGTTTGCCTAAGCCCGACATGGCACCAGGGTCCTTCCTGATGGTTGTTGCCTGTGCTGATCGGCAGTGGAATGTGAGCTCATGCCTATAAAATGAGTAGCACAGTTTCTGCCCACAGGAAGGATGCCATAAATGGTGGGAGCTTCTCTTTCTACTATTAATGGTTTTATTATATTATGACTATGTGGAGGCAGATTGTGGAGGACTTGTGAAGGCCAAGCATTGACATTGAGATTTGATGAGGTAGAAAGGCAGGGAACCAGGACCGTTATTAAAAAGAAGAGTAACATGAAAATCGAATTCAAGGGCAATTAGTCTGACAGGTACTCAGGGAGTTCCAAGACAGAGGAAAGAGTGTCAGGGGGAGGATGTCTGTCTTGTCTGCCGACCCATCCACAGGGCTGGCACGTTGCCCAGCCTGTAATACGTCCTCAATTAAAGTTTGTTGAACACATGAACGAGTGACTTGGACTAGAACAGTGGCAGGTGGAACAGTGAGGAAAGAGAGACCGGAGAGAAACCGTATGGGACAGGTGGACTGGGCTTGGGGTGAGCAGTACTGGAATGAAGGAAAGGAATATGGTTCTAGATCTTCAGCCAGGGGAATGAGGAGGCACTGGTCAAGGTGGGGAGCTGAAGGCAGAGCTGGATGGTGCTGAGGACATCGTGGTCAGGGACCAATAGCCACAGGGGATTGATCATCCACAGCCCCCACATGAAGGGAGACAATGAGTGTCCCCTGCATCGGTCAGAGCACTTTCAGTTGTAAATGACAGAAACCAATCAGAACCGTAATGGACAAGGGTAGATCTTAACTCAGGGACAGCGGGATCCAGGAACTCAGATGTCACCATGCCCTTCTTTACCCTTCTGGGTGTGTGTTTCTTTCTCTCATCCTACAGATGGGCTTTCTCCGGGTATCAGGGAACATGAGCGCAGGCAGCCTCTGGTTCACATTCTTACAGCCTCAAAAGCAGAGAGACAAGAACTCCTCTACTAGCTAAAGATGGAAAAATTCTGGAGAAGGACCCTGATTGGTCCATCTCCAATCACATGCACATCCCTGAGCCAATCACTGTTGTCACGATAGAGTAGTATGATTGGTCCAGCTGAGTCACACACACATTGTTCCCAGGGTGGGGTGGGGAGGGGTCTGTTACCCCAAGAAGGAGTATGGGCAAAAGCCAAACACACACTCTACCAATGAGTTAACTGAGGCCATGCTTTTCCTACTGCCCCTTGCCACAGGGTGCACGTGCAGAGGGGGGCAGGGAGAGTGTGCTGGGAGAGGGGGACGAATGGAAGGCATCTACCAGAATCCCTGGATCTCCTGTAGATGGGAAGGGAGGACAGAGGGTAGTAAGGCAGGGCTGGGGGAGGAGGGGACCTAGAACAGTCAGAGGAAAGCTGACAGGGCATCATGGGGTGAATTAGAGACGATAAGGAGGCAGAGAGGGCGCAGCTGAATTCAGACACTGTGAGTTTGTAGTTTGGTGCGAGACAGGTCTGCCCAGTTCTGTGACTTTCTCCAGCTGCACCAAGACCAGCCTCTGTGGAGTTTCCCTCCTCGGGGGCAGCTGGTGCCCCATTCAGTTCAAAAGCAAGTCTGACAGCCTCGCTGTCACGGTCTTGTAATAATGATCATATCCCCTTGACCCTGGCCAGGGTCTTGTGTCCCTCGAGGATGGGCCACCAGATGGTGATTCATCCCGACCGTTACCTTCTGTGATTGCTGCTGGAGAGCTGTCGGGGAGAGGAGGAGTCCACCGGGGAAGAAAGAGCTGCAGAGGGAGAGGGAGGTGGGGACACAGAAAAGATAGGGCAGCAGGGGGGTTGGCAGGGGTAGTGGGGTAGCCCAGGGCAGCCAGGGTTTGTGCAATGCCAGATGGGAGGTGGTGGAGGAGAGTCATGGAGACCACTCTTTGCTGGCACCACCTGGATGGTCAAATTTGTCCTTGGGTCGGTGGTCTATCTGCCTCAACCCCTCTCCGTAGAGGGACTTCAGCGTTCTGTATGCTCCCTCACCATTTAGGGGAAAAGCCACTTTACTGGATCAGCTGTAATGAATTCTGGGAGGAACAAACCGCATTTCTAAAAAGACACTTAAAGATGTCCTGGTTAATTGCTGAATCCAGCTTGTCTTGCTCTGACCTTTAAATCTGATCCTTCATTGTCTTCCCCCAGACCAGCCCCTGGCCTCGCGATTCCCTCCCTGGGCTCCCCTTCTCCTCCAGGACCACTCTTCAAGCCACCAACCCCCCTCCCCAAAGCACCTGCAGGTGAGTCCGAGCAGGCAGCTCTAACTGGCTTCCTGTCCTTACAGCCTTCCTTACACCCACCACACCCTGTCCTCCCACCCCCAGGCTCATCCACTAGTCCCCTCCACTGTCACTCAAAAGCAGCTCCTTACAAAGATGAGCTTCACTAAAACCCCTGGACGCTGTAGTTGAGTTCGAATATGATTCATATGTGTCACAGTGTGTTGCGTGTGCAGTGGGTAGGGGGGTAGGAACGCGGAAAGAGTGTAGTTATTTCTTCAAGCACATGACCATGACATTTCTTTGGTTCAGGGATTCTCTTTTTTTTTTTTTTTTTAAAGATTTTATTTATTTATTTGACAGAGAGAGACACAGCGAGAGAGGGAACACAGGCAGGGGGAGTGGGAGAGGGAGAAGCAGGCTTCCCACGGAGCAGGGAGCCCGATGCGGGGCTCCATCCCAGGACCCTGAGATCCTGACCTGAGCCGAAGGCAGACGCTTAACCATCTGAGCCACCCAGGCGCCCCCAGGTTCAGGGATTCTCAAATATGGTCCCAGACCTGTGGCCTCGGCACCTCCTGAGAACTTGCAAGAAATGCGAATTCTTGGGGTCTGACCCAGGCCTACTGAAGTAGAAATTCCAGGAGTAGGGCTCAGAAATCCCTTTAAAGAAGCCGTCCAGAAGATGTTGACGCCCACAGGGTGCGTGAGAAGGACCGCTCTAACTGTACTACGATCCCCCAGGACAGAGTAGGCCCAGTGCTTTCGAGCATCGCTCTTTTCTCTGGGCAGTCAGGCCCCCATC